ACCTGTGCAATAATCATGCTGTCTAATCAGCATCTTGATATGCCACACCTGTGAGGTGGGATGGATTATCTCGGCAAAGAAGAAGTGCTCACTATCACAGATTTTTTCAGATTTGTTAACAATATTTGAGAGAAATGGTTATTTTGTGTACGTAGAAAATGTTTTAGATCTTTGAGTTCATCTTGTGAAAAATGGGAGCAAAAACAAAAGTGTTGCGTTTATATTTTTGTTCAGTGTATATCTAAGGCTGGTTCTTTTCATTATTGATTCATGTAGTTATTTGGTGTACTTATTTGTAGCCAGAATGTCAGTATATAAAGCCTATTACAGTTACCCATAGCCAAAGCATCTTATGACTTATTTTGTCCAAAACCATATATAAAAAAAGACAAAAATATTAAGATTACTATAATTGAAGGCTAGAAAATCCGTACATTTTCACATTTGAAAACCTTGAACCAGTACGATATGAGGGTATATTAGGATTAATACATTATCAAAGTAGCTGCAAAAATATTTTTCTGTTATGAATTCCCTGATTGTTTTAGCTTTGGTTATTTCCCATAAGGGATTAAGTCTGGTTTATGCTTAACGTATCTGTGGAATGCATGGGTGAGGAAAATTTAACTTGAAGGTGTGTTTCATACCAAATGCGTCACGGTTCTTCCCGCACTGTGTGATATTAGGCTGCAATAGATTATGTTTTTTTAGTCATGGTTGATTGCTAACATCAACATTGCTAAAACATGTTGTATATAAGGTAAGCCACTCTTCTTTAGTAGTAGTCCAATTGGCTATTAAGGGCGAATATTCGTCGTGACATGAAATACTCAAAAAAAAACTCAAGATTCAATTTCAAAGATTGAAAGGCATTTGAAGGCATCACACATTAAGTCCCAAGCTCCTCCAACAATGCAACATAAATACTGTATAAGACATCAAATAAAACTAATTTTGATTAGATTGGCCGTTTTCGCCAACACATGCTAAATGCTAATGCCCACAAGGATAATGCTTACATGCTGATGTTTAGCAGGTATAATGTTTACCATATTTAGGATTCATCCTCTGGGGAATACGAATGTCTCTATATACTTAGACAGCAACCCTGCAACCGTTATGCAGATATTTCGGTACCACTTTACAATAAGACTACCCTTATAAAGGATTCATAAAGGGTTCATTAAGAACCATTTATCTAACATAGTTTTCATACATCAACACAGGCCCACTATTTGGCAAGATCACTAAGCCTTATATTGGCTACTTAGCGAGAATCAACTCAGTGAACAACAGATACCAAGGATGCTGGATGAAGAAGACGAAGTAAGCTAGGTAGCTAATATAAGACTTAGCAGTACAGATAAATGTGGGCTCACTATTTGGCAAGCAACCTGTCAAAGTTGCCCTGTTTCATTAATAAGCTTTTATAAGACATGAGATAAACAGGGCAACTTTGACAGGTTGCTTGCCAAATAGTGAGCCCACATTTATCTGTACTGCTAAGTCTTATATTAGCTACCTAGCTTACTTCGTCTTCTTCNGTAAGTTGGTCGAACGAATGCCTCCTCATCCGGAAGCTGACCGAGCAGACCCGAGCAGCAGTCGAGAGGAGCCGAGCGCATCCGCCAAGCATACAAAATGGCGACGTCAGCGTTCCCCTTGGCCGGCAAATCTAAATCTCTTTGGTCACAATAATTTCCCTTTAGCACAATACTGCTTCAATTGCGCCATTTATGTGACAGAGAAGAAGAGTATGTGACAGACAAGAATAGTCAATTATAATGTCTAACACTTAATGTGGAGAAAGAGNCGAAGTAAGCTAGGTAGCTAATATAAGACTTAGCAGTACAGATAAATGTGGGCTCACTATTTGGCAAGCAACCTGTCAAAGTTGCCCTGTTTATCTCATGTCTTATAAAAGCTTATTAATGATTTATAAAGTGTTCACAACCCAATTAATAAATGAATTACAAACTATTCGTAAACTCTTTATAAGGGTAGTCTTATTGTAAAGTGGTACCGATATTTCTGTCTGGACCAAAGTGGCGGAGGTACAGACAGACAGTCATTCATCAGCAGCATATTCATCAGATGCAAAATGGGATTTAAGATGGATTGGTCCTCCCAGCGTGCTAGACTATAAATTGGCCCGCACCTATTCTTAGTTTGGCAAAGTGGTTCTCAGTCTTCTTGCCTGGTAAGACAGACATAACTCTCTCTGTAATACAAGCCTCTTTGCTTCAAGATTATGTAACAAGACCAGATTTGGGCCCCTGACAGTGAACACATTTTTTTGTTTATTTTAAGCATGAGTCCGCATCTTCTTAGTGTTGTTTTTAATATATCGCACAAACTACAGGATTTCCTCTGGGCGGTTTCCCTTCCTGGCAGGCTACAAAGCAGCCTTGAAATGCAACATGAAACAGGATATTCCATTTGACAAGCCTTTTCAAATGTAGACATCCAAGTGAGGATCAGACCTTGGATTTGCTTGTTTTTGTGAAGGCTCTGCCGGCAGGAAATGGTTGGTGTTGAAAATGTCAACAGTGTTGTGGGGGGGTGAAGTGCACTGTATTGGCGTTTACTTGGAAAGGTCCTTTCAGCTCTAAATGATAATTCCATTAGGCTGCTGTCCTGATGTCCACAAGAGGAGAGGACGCCCACTCCAGCCTGGATTACAGGCTGCATCACGCCAGCCACCCCCTGATGTGCCTAACAACATAAGCAATGTTGCACCTTCTCCCACACACACACTCATCACACCATCACACACACGCCGCCTCGCTGCTGCTAATAACAGTTGAAGCGCCGCAGGAAATAGTCCTGGAAGAGTGCTGTTCTGTGGTTTGATGCGTGTGTTTTTCTGACTGTCACACTGAAACCCACCCTGCAGACAGCTGCAGCGGCTATTTCTGAGATCCTTGGAATCCCTTCATTGGCTTTCTCAATATACACACAGCAAGGAAGATGCATGTGGGACATGCTTAGAGGATGGATTTGTTTCCATTGTTTTGTTTTTTAAATGAAATGTTTCTTCATTCTTAATGTTACTGCACAGTCTTTGGACATCTTTATCATGACAGCACCATAGCACCATAGATGGTTTAAATGAAGTTGACTTCGCTTGTGGATCTGAAAAATGAGTCTTTGTCAATCTGCGTTTTCTCCCTAATGGACAGCAGGGGGCGACGCCACTCCTTGGAAAAATAAGTGTATAATAAAAATAAAAATAATTAACTCGTTTTCACTTAAATGTATACCCTTAGGGCGGGTTCACATTAAAAGATACAGTTCCTAAATTCAACCAATGAAAGGATGATAACTAGACTAGATTGCTTTCACAAAAACGGTTCAGGAATTGTAAAAGTATCATGTGGTGGAATACAGCAAGTGGATACTTTGGCTACTTTGTAATTAGAGTCAATACCATGGCGACCTGTAGATTAGTCATTGGCATAGCAATGTGTATCCCTCCCCATCTCTACTTTCTCGTTCACATATGGCCAGGTCTGGCTCCAAAAAACTAAAGTATGCCAAACTCGAGGCTTGGTTCGGCACATGATGCCATTGGGCCGTTTTAAACTCAGAATTCAAAAGTATTCAATTTTACGGCTCAAGCTACTTTTATAGTAATGAACAGGGTCCCACCTCCAACATTGTATCCAGTTTTCTTTGAACATTCATGATCAAAACGGTTAAAAAACAAACAAAGGGTGACTAAGTTGTCTTGCTCATACAGTTTATGGTCTTCAGCAAGAATTCTAATGAAACCTTTAATGTTGTGCATGTTCAGAAGTAATGGATCTTTCACCCACATGAGGCTGTGAACCTTTCTTTCTGACCGTGTCCGTCTCCATCTCTTTTTCCGCAGGCTCCCTGACAGATGGACGTAAGTTTGACTCGTCTCGTGACAGGGACAAGCCTTTCAGGTTCAAGGTTGGCAAGCAGGAAGTGATCCGAGGCTGGGAAGAAGGTGTAGTGCAGGTAAGCTGGAAAACTGAACGCACAATACTGTATTTTAAGACAGTCCACGTTAGCTTTGTAAATTGCCACAGATTCTGCATGTGGCACTTATTGACCCCCACCGAGAAGGGAATACTTCACATGCTACATTGAATGCTGCAGGAATGAGTTGTGAAATCTGGAAATAAGTTAGCATTGATGCATTTCCTGTTTCATTGGCTTGAAGTGAGTGGGTTTTGAAATGGGTGTTTGATAAGATGCCTCAAAAAGTCTGTGGTAAACACAAGCTTTCGAGATGTTCACATTTTGTTCTATGAAATAAACTAATTAAGCAAGTCAATAGATACTCCATTCCTGGATTTTGAAGCTTTTATGTGTCTTTAAAAAGCATTTGCTAACAAATTGCTATATTTCTACAGGGGTTGTCAGGGACATTAAAAATGATCACAAACACAGGAACACTTGTATAATCAGGTAGTGATATTGAGGTCATGGAGCCGGGTATATAGGCTGTGTTGATATCCTAACAATAGCCTTTTACTTCAAGTGATTTCATTTTCACTTTAAAAATCAAATTTTCTTAAGTAATCCCAAATCCAATTAAAATTGGCTTTTGTTGAGGGAACCAGCGTGATGCTAACTTCTGCACAAAACAAAGTCATCCCTGCAGCATTCTTTTGGAACAGACTTCAAAGGAAATAGTCAGCCAACTAAGCATCAGCAACAGTTATGATTTGGAGGCAGAAATGTATCTGATTTCCAAAACAAGTAAACACATTTTGCTTATGATAGTGTTGAAAGTTCATCTTTTGTAATACAATATTTATTGACATAGTTCCATTATCAAGTTTTTCCCATCAAGGTTTCCGCTAACACGAAAACAGTGGGTCACCATAACACACTGTGCTTTATCTCACTCACTCAGCCCTGCAGCATGTAGATGAGGTGTAGCTGGTTACTGTTAAAGAGTTAGGATATCATCATTAAACATCTCAATAAGGCATTATTATATAAATAAAATAAGCTTCTAATGACTGCATTAGGAAATACCCAGCAATAAAGAATGGAGGAAGAGATTTAGATATAATTAGGCATCATTTCTGAGAGAGATGTTTTCACAGTCCCCTGTGGTTTTATTATCCAACTTAGACTGCTGAGATTGTATTATGATCTAATTCATTTTATCTTATGCTGCAGACTAGCTGTTCCTCACCCTGTTGTCTCTTTCTCTGTTTGTATCGTGTGTCTACTTGTTCCTCCAGATGAGCGTTGGTCAAAGGGCCAAGCTGACCTGCACACCTGACTTTGCTTATGGAAACAAAGGCCATCCGGGCATCATTCCTCCTAATGCTACCCTCATCTTTGACGTTGAGCTGCTGGGTTTGGAATGAAACAAATTCATGGCCTGTTTCTTTTGTTATGTGTAAGTAATGTGCAAAAACTTACTATCTGCTTTTAACTGTTGGTTTTACTAGTTTTAGCTACAACTCACATTCTTCCTGTGGCAGTAAAAGTCACTGACTAACATCATCTAACATGCTATGTGCTAGTCAAGTTAGCTTAGTTACGTTTTTTTCTTATTTCATAAAAAAAGTTGCAGTGTTAACGTTGCTGTTAGTGAATTTGCAGTGCATTAGCACTGCGGTGTTATTCAAACTTCATGTTTAAAATGCTGTAATGAGCTGGCCTTTAGTACTGTAATCTTTCTCTGGAAACATGTAATAGTTGTTCAATTTTAGATCCCATATATTTCAGGCAGCTAATACTATCCCTATCACTTACTACACAAATAAAGTGTACGTGGAGACACTTGTTTAGAGTGGTAATCCTGAACAGTAAATGTTTTATCGGCTATTTTTCCAGAAGGTACCACTTTTAGAACCGTCCTTGGTAGTGCAGTGAAAATGCGTACAACTGAAATGTGTGAGTAAGCTGTCTAAACAGGCTCTATTCATAACAGTGTTGTTGAAAATGGTACACAGTGCAACTGATTTATGGTTAAAAAGCTAAAAAAATGTAACCTTGTTTCGGTCCTTTGAAAAAACTGTCCAAGTTGACTAACTGAACACAAGAATAGGGACAATTTGACCATTTAGTCTTTCCTCAGAGAAATACCTTGGTTTTCTGTTTGCAGGATTTGGAACCAAAGTCATTTAATGGCAAAGGAGGTAGATTAGTGTGGGGGCACCTATAGTTTTTACACTGAATATTGCATGCTCCAAAAATATTTATCAATACAGCAATTTGGTCCATTAGATTCGAAGGAAAAAATAGATGACATAGACTTTTCAATTCTTATATTTGGTATACCAAAATAATGTGTGCCATAGACGCTTTGTGTATATTGAATCCCTTTTCAGGTTAATTGTGTTAATATTATCGTGTTTGTATTTTGTGGTTGATTCATTTGTTATAATAAATTAGGGCCAAGATTGTCCCAAGATCCGAACATTGTACAGCAGTTGAGAGGGGCTATGTACAGATCCACCTGACACTAATAATCGATTAACAGTTTTCAACTTTAAGCGTATGTTATATTGTGGTTTATAGTATAGCCTGCTTAACATGAGTGATGGTGTTAATTGAGCAGACACATCATCTCTTACCTGCCAGTATTTACATCAACCCTGAAATGTGTTCCTCAATCCTAACTCTCCCCTCTTGTTTTCGTCACAGGTGACTTCCTACCTGGGTGAGCTAGAGAGAAGCTGCACTTGATTCTATAAGAGGCTTGAGTCTATAGTTCCACTACTTATTTCATCAAACTATGACAGTTTGTGTTATTTTCTCTCTGTGACTGAGTGCATTATATTTTTCGATGATATTTTTCCTCCTAAAAAAAACCATTGGCCATAACCTTACCAACCTCCATGTTTTTAAATCTTGAATTCTTTTGAATTGCGTTTTACTTATTTTTTCTTTGTGTTTTGCATGGTTATGCTGAGAAGTACAAAATATCAATGAACCACTGGCAGCGACATTCATCCCTTATGCATATTATAATGTTTGAGAGCTAGTGCTTGTTGTATCACAGAAACAAAGAAAGTATAAGGAAAAAAATGAAAAGCACACATTTGTATCGCCACAAAGTGGAACATCAGGACAAATGAATTGAGTTTCTGTTCGAGAAATAAGGCTTAGTGCTGATTTAGTGGCTATATGTAGTGATATGTCAAGTATTTGAAGTCTTTAATGGTGCAACACAGGAACTATTTGCTTCACAAAAGGCCTATTTATATAAAGTACCAATGTTTTTTCCTTTAATTTGAATTATTGTCAAATGTGTGAGTTCTTGAGGGGTAATTGGTGCAAAGGAGAACCAATCACACTTGTAGATAGTTCTAATGTGTGCCTAAATATTTTTCACTGGACACATGGTTACTACCTTGCTCTATCTGCATGTTTGAGGCCCAAAGGAACACTTAGTATGTACACGTAGAAAGCTTTGCATCCAATTTGCGTTATTATTGCCTTCCTCTTCTCGCCTGGTATTTTAAGCCCATTTAAAGCCATACACACATCCAACAGTGCAAAGACAGAATTTGCGCAAATCAGTTGTATTGTTCTTTTTTTTCTTCTTAGAAATAATGGGAAATGCTTGAAATTTACAAAAAGGGGGTTTGAGGAACCAATGAAATTGTGACCTCCCCCCCCATTATTTTGTGTAACAACTTCAATTATGTATTTTTCAGATGCCAACTTTCTATCTTGGAGAATCAACAAAGCTAATGTGTAACCTATGATAATAGATTTTTGTTTGTTCTGCCAGTGTCATTTAAGAACCACGCTGCGGATGTGAAGTCTGTGTTGTGGTAGAAAAAGAAGAAGACACACGGGCAATCGTAGTGTTTTTTTTATCTCAGATAAATAGTTTTAAATGGAGTTTAATTAAGGAATATTCGGCCTGGCTGTCAGATATTGACCGTGGCTGTCGGTCTTAACTATTGGCCGAGCTGCAGCTGGTGCGGCTCCTCTGTTCTGTGTAGTTATTCGCTGATACGATACTGTATGAAGACTTAACCAATGATGACATATTTAAAATAAAAGAAGTGCTCTCCACTTGCTTTGTGTTTTTTGTTTTGGTGTAGAAATGCATTTAATCACCCTGGGATTACCGCTGTTATAAATGCTGTTGGGTTATTTTGCTAAATAAGCCCTTTTTATTTGATTACTTAAAATGTGTTAAGCTGAAAATTATTCATATGAAATTAAAGACATGAATGTGTAAGCTCGAGCAGAATAATGTCCTTATTGAGTACACATTTATTTACTTTTCACTTTTCTTTTAAAACCTGTAAGGAATGGCTACATTTTCTTTTTTTTTAAGTGAATTAAATATTAAGACATTGGAAAGGGTGTGTGTATGTAGCAAGATATACATTAATTAGAGATTCATGTAACTATTAAAAAGCTGATTTTTTCATGTGCCCTCAGCAGCCCCCCCTCAACAAAACAAACCCCAATGTGACCCCTAAATGTTTACCTATGTCAACTATCATCAAGGTCATATACACAATTCCTAGTGGTAGAGTCACGTTGAGTGTTTCACTGTCAAAACAGTTGCGTTATGTCTTCTGTGCTGTGAGGGAGCTTTGCAAAGTCTTAGAAAATAACACAACCATTGGATGCATTATAAGAAATGCAATATAGTTATCTTTTTGGTGCTTGACTATATGTACTAAAAATAAGGATATCTCAACCTTTGTGGCCCCGAAAAAATGTTTGTTAGTCTCTCAAGTTTTTGAAAGTGCAATAATTTGAATGCCGTCTTCAAATGAATTCTGAACAACCACTTGGTTTAAAACGATAGCTTGCATTCCATTGAAAGGAACAACAGGATCAAAGGGGTCAAACCTAAGCTACAGTGGAATGTTCTTACAGTATTGTATATGATTTCCATAATGGGAAATTACAGATTTGCATTCTGTTCTGTAGAGATCAGTGCCAATATACATTTGGTAGATCTAAGTCAGTGCTCTTCTAAGGCCTACATAAAAATGTAACTGAGATGAATAAAATAAAGATGCGATTTTTTTTTATTTAAAGCTTTTTATCACATTTCATCTATGATGCAGGAGTATGCCATTTTAAGAGTTTCTGTGATGCTATAGAAACAACAGAACCATCATTGGTGCTAATGTCTACTAATCATGACTTGCATTTTATTTTCAGAAATAATATTTTTTGATCAACACAAGCTGAGCCATGTAGCTCCTTTATTTTGAAGAGAAGGCATACCTGACATACGGCAAATCACAAAAACATTTTTAGATGATTAAAAAGCTCAATTATCCAAGGACTTCATTAGGGGCCCTAGATTTAGTGAAGAGAGTCCCAGTTGTTTTAGTCGGTACTGTAGTTATTTACTGTACCTAAGGCAATGGATTGTGGCTATAGCTTAAATACATTGAAAATACCTGCTGGGTTGAGCTGATAGTCACCCCTTTTATAATGCAGATGCTGAGCAGAGGACACAACAGAGACCTTTTCACACAGCCTTTCACCTGACCCTGTACAGAGTGCAGCAACAGATCACACACAGAGGCAACACACAGACTAAACATGGCCCCAGGATTATACAGGTCATAATGATTGTCATGAGATACTGTATGTGTTATTGACACACTATGGACATGGTGAGTCAAAGTAAATGTGACCGAACGGGGCGTGGCTTACAACGTCAACATTGATTGACGTGGTGTGAACGACCAGGAAGCCAGCCTTGACATCATTCTCCAGAATTCCCCTTCAGGACAACGAGGAGTGCAAAGAAGAGAGAGCAGAAAACAGAAAAATAAAGGAGTTTTCCGCTCTCTGATACCCCAAAGTGTTTAAGACGATTTTACAACCAAGCCATTAAGGTGAGACTGACTCTATTTTACCAAACCGTTGTATCCTGTCCCGCTAGCGGTAACTGCTACATATAGGTTTCGTTTACCTAGCAAGCTAACTTAGCGGCTAGCTTGCTTCCCTGCTGTTTATATCGGAACAAAGACGGTCTGCTTAGCCTCTCAGCTAAAAGACACTAGTTTAGTCTTTATTTTTAATAATTTATAACTTGAATATAAGGTATTCAGACTTTATATGTCTTCTATAAACAGCTAACGGCGGTTGGTTATTTGCTAATGAGTGTGCAGTGAGACACCATAACGTTAGCTAACATGTCATGCTCTTACTTAGACATATGATAGTGATACTTAAATAATGAATTACGTTTTATTCATATTAGTATGAAGCATCTGCCTTGTTTATTATAAGAACACAAACGTCACTTAAGCCCTGTGTATTATATCTGAGCCTATGTTGTTGTAGCGTTATACCGTAAGTTAGGCCATGTTTAGAAAGGAAAACGGTATTTAACGTGCGGACATTACTGATACAGTTCGACCGGTGGATGGGTACACTAAAGGGTGTGGGTCGGCTCACAGCAGTGCACCTCTGTTCCGTTTTATCGTTGTCCATCCTCCCCCCTCCCACTCCCTCTGTCCTTTCCCCAGCCATGTCAATAGACCGGAATAAGCTGCCAGGAAGAACACATTCTTGTATCTAACCAATTCGTTCAGGCTCCCCTAAGTTAGCACGCTCTTTCCTTTCCAGTCTCCACCAAAGCCAAATACATTAAGGCTGAGCAGCAATGAGCTCTATGGCAGTGTTGGAAGAAGCACTCAGATCCAGCCTTGAAATACTCTTTTACAAGTAAAAGTTTTGATTTCAAAAGGTCTCTTTAGTTAAAGTGTTAGCATCAAAACATACTTAAAGTACAAAAAGTGCTCATCTGCACAATTACCCATTTCAGAATAATGTAAAATACAGATGTGATTATTAGCTAAATGTACTTCAAGTATCAAAAGTAAAAGTACTTGTATATACACCACAGATATTTTCAAAGTATTATATTATTATGGTTATTGTTTTATCCATGTTAGAGCATTTTTGTGTTTTAGTTTGTCAATGCGGACCACATTTAGATACTAGAAATAGATGTGTAGATTAGAAGTACATTACTGCATTACAGTAAATAGTAACTGTGAGAGTTAAATAAATGTAGTCGAGTAAAAAGTATGATATTTGCCTCTGAAGTGTAGTTGAGTAGATGTATAAAGTAGCAATAAACGCAAATACTCAAGTAAAGTACACATAGGTCAAAAAATACAGTACTTGAGTAAACGTACTGAGTTACTTTACACCACTGCACGAATGTGATGGGAAGCCTCTTTCTGAACTGCTCTCAGAAAAGCAATACAATGTACAATGAAATTCAATCATTTATCATCTACTTTTTGCACTTCCAATACACAATGGAAGCTTAGTTAAAAAGAGCAGCTTATTGCACTTATAACATACTCCACCAGCTTTGTACCCTTGTTTGTAGGAATTTCCTTTCTTCCTTCAAAGAAAGTCTTTATTTGAACTGCAGCGGCAGAAGTGACTCAAGGATTAGGTTATGTCATTGCAAAAGCTGCCTGACCTCTTCTTTTTTCCAGGCTTATTCACTTAACTCCAGCCAGCTAGTCCAATTGAGGGTGGAATATAAAGCGAGCAAACAAACACAGCCGTAAAGTAAACACTGGACAATATTAAAATGCCCTTCTGTCCTCACACACACAATGATGCACTTGTGTGTGAGGAGTGAGGAGAACAGAGTAGAGTAGTGGCTGGAGTAGCTGGGAAAGTGGTAAGAATGATTTGCTTATGGGACTCATGGGGTGCCTTTCTTCACCTACTAGTGTCAAAATGATTGTTGACCACATATCCCACCCTTGTGTACATGGCATGACATCATGGACCCATATTTCCATTCTTTAAGAACATTTATATAGACTTTTTGTTATAGGTTATTTTGGCACAATGCGTTTTTTTGTTAGTCTGTTCTATGGTTGGCCACGATGTATTTACATTATAATATAATCACCCTTACTTTGTTTTCCTGTTTCTTATGAGCAAGAGATGTGCTCACATGTCTTGTGACTGTGACACACATTTGTCACAGTGTGTTTAAGAAATCAGTAATGCTGCCGTGACTGGGAAGTGAAATCAATCATTGAAAGGTTATTCTTCAGTGGAATTCTTGTTTTGAATTCTAGAAAATCTGACCTGCCTATAACGCGGATCATCCATTGGCCATGACTCTTTCAATACATTTTGTTTTTTATTGTCATTTTTTAATTCGTTGTTTCTGTTATCAGTTAATAGATTCAGTCATTTCATCACTTTAGGTCACCAGCTCAGTTTGACCTTATGTTACCGTACACTGAAATAGGGGTGGGGTTATCAAGACAGGGAGAATATAGTTACTAAAAAGGAAAAAAACATCCAGTTAACATATTTATTAAAGTAAAGGTTGGATCAGTACTAGAACAAAATCTGATTTAAATAAAGTATTGGAATGTGTTTCAAGAGTGAAGAACAGAAAGCTACATTTATAGACTGGCAAAAGATTTCCAGACTCTTGAATTTATTTATACTTTTTGGATATCATAAGACCAAACTATTCAATCAGTAATTGGCAGAATTGGTACTATTACTAGTGAAGATAAGCCCTATCCAGGAGAGGGACGAATTAATTTGACATTTGAAAGTAGAGTAAAAAATAGCTTACAATAGCCTTAGGTGACAGAAACATAGTCATCTGCTCTCTTAACCCTGCTGGTTATGGTCATATTTAACATTAAGACTGATTGGATATTCACATAAAATGTTTCTTAACACAATAGACCTAGGTTAAATTGATGAGTATGAGAATTAGTGTATCTCAAGGCAAATGCACTGTTGAATTGGAGTATCACAAACAGATGTCAGACTTGAACAAACTCATGTTTAATACCAGACATTACATTTACTGCGTGTCACAGCCTGTACCGGTTGTACTTTGTTCACTTTCTCGGTCAGCTGACTGACGGATAACTATCACTTCCTCTTCCTATTTTAGGCTGCTGTTTTGTTTATGTGTCGCAGAAATGAGTCTAGTTTGGCACATTATCAAGAAACCATGAGAACCATGCATTAACCGTTGCTTTTTAAATCTCATGTGTTTTCCTCCACCCTTGTTTACTTATGTA